ACTGACGTTTCAGATCCAGGTATCAATGTGACATCAGTTTTATCGCTTTCAGGACGATATGATGGTTAAATATTTGCCATCCAGCAAACTGACCTGACGTCGACGTCATTTTCGGAAGATGGAAGAGGTATTAAATGGCTATGTAACTAACCCAAACCCTACTCCTACTCTAACCCCTAACCCTAAACAAATTAATAAAAAAATCAAAAAAGAAACAACTTTAGAAAATCGATAGGGCGGTTTGCTGGATGGAAAATAGTGCTAACCCGATATCATAAATGTCACGAGCGAGTGCATAAACATGTCCCTTGTTCGCTGTGCTCACTCCTCGTCATCCCTCAAGCAACATACTAAAACTGCTATCGCCTCACCCCTCAATCATATGATAACTCTCGTGATAAACTATAATTATATCAAGTATATCAGAATTAGATTTATATCATTTCAACTCAGACACATCACAAATTATTGAAATTAACACAAACTATCCCAGAGACTTACATTTAAACAATTCAACTGCATTATTTTTGATATTCGTCAAAGCCGTCGAACATTGTGGACTAATTAATGAATCGTCATTCCGAAGTCTCGACTGATTTAGCTGGTTGACCAAAACAGAGCGATATGAAGCAAATACGTTTTCTCCAATTTGGTCTTGCAAAAGTAGCTGCGTTGCTAATATATCATTGTGCACTACTTCCATATCTGCTCTCGCGAGAAGAGAGCAGAAAAGAAAAGTTAGCAGTGAAATCGCACATGAAGTAAAAGCTACCATATTTTCGAGTAGTTTCGCCGGCAGCTCTGCCTTTTATAAATTGCAATTTTAATACGGTATACAGCGATACAACACCAGCAAATAATTATTTATTGCAACACTGTCAACATAATTGTCAATTTGTCACGTGATGTGTTCCGGGGGGAATTCTTTTAGATAGTTTCAGTAATATATACGAACTTTAATCGATTTATCTTGCGATAAAGGGACATTTTACCCTAATGTAAACTTTCTGTATCATTAATACAATACTAACTTCATCAAATTCAACCAATATTTGCTTATAAACTTGTATTAGTTTGATTTAAAATATATATGTATAACAAGTTACCCCCCGGTTTCAGACATCAGTAGTTACGTAATAGTCTAATAGGTATATTTATAGCGGCGCAAAAAATGCATGCGTCATAGTCACGGGCAATAGCCTGTGACCAGGCCCTCCTGGGTTTTAATACTGTACAAAGCCCTATTCACTAGCTGAGTTTCATCAGTTATCAGAATGAGAAAACACTTTTATCGATTATATTCTTTTCATTATTTGTAGTATTTGGTAGCCAACAACTAAAAGAGAGATTTATTGTAATACACCCTTCCGGAACGGTACGTACTATAGAGCCTCGTTTTCTATATTGAGATATCGGCTTTAGAGCCCTTCAATCTTATTACCGATTACTTAATTAATTAGTACAGTATAAAGGTCTTTTATATTATCTAATGTAACTGTATAATTTCGTAAACGTGTCACCGGTTACAAAGTAAAGGGCTCTAAAGCCGATATCTCAATCTCGGAAAGGAGGCTCTGTGATCAAGGCAGAGCTTTCTGGAAGGCAGGGCCGGAGATATGGGGGGG